GCAATTTTTTATTGCTAGAAACAAAACCAATAGGAGTTATTTTCTGTTATCATTTTTTGTTACAAGGTCATTTTATAGCAAACACCATAATAACTGCTGTTTGCTTGTGGTGATGGATGATGATGTCCTTGGCCCCACACAGGGGTCTGCTCCAGAGATGATTAGTGGTGAGGAGGGAATGCCTGGAGCTTCTAATCTGGTGTCCAGCTGTCTTGGCATACGGTGCTCATGCCAAATCATTTTTTCCTGGGGTCACCCAAATTTTGAATCAAGATGGTGGTTCCAAGAGCACCACTTGGAGCCTTGGGGCTTTAGACAGATGTCCACCCAGCGTCGATCCTGAGTGACGCTTACTTCACCTAAGTGGCAGAGGTGGCCCCCTGGAGCAACTGTGCTTCTCCAGCCCCTGCTGCCCTGTTCCCATCCTCTCTTTGTCTTTGGGTGCACCCTGGTCCCCTTCCACTTTCTGTTCCCCATGCTTATCATCCCTGCCCACGTTCTCTTCCTGTCCACACGCTGCTCTTCTGTGTCTCTGAACTATTCACTTCCACCCCTCTGTGGCTTGTGGATAGCACGAGGTGAACATTGCTTCTTGCACCATCCGCACACCCTGCCGGGATGGTGGCTCTGAGCTGCTCACAGGAAGGACATAATTGGGCAAAGTCGCTGGGGTACAGGAGAGCTCTTGTAAGCACATGAGAGAGCTGATCATAAAATCACACTCTTCTCCCTCCCTTCCCTCCTGGTTTCTTCCTTCCTCTCTCTCCTTCTTTCTCTCTTTAACTCTGAATGGCAGTTATAATAATATGGGCATTGGCTTCTAGAGCAATGGTGTTGGGGGGGGTCAGCTCTGCTCTTGAGTTTGGTCTACTTTGCCTTTTATTACATTTGCATGGTAAGACCTCAGGCAGAGGCTCAGACCAGAGTCTGGGATCCAGAAGAAAGGACCCAGTGCCTGCAGACCTGCCTGGCCTGCGGTGAAGGACAGGTCAGACTCCGGAGCTCTGTGTTGCTGCCTGTCCTTCTCCATTAAGCAAGAACTCTCCATGGAGAATAGCAGCCCAACACCTCTGTAGTAAATTGTGGATGGGTCGACAGTGTGTCCCTCTTTGCCGACTTCCCTGTAGGACCCTTGGCAACCATAGAGACCTTAGTCGTCTCCCGCTCTTCTTCTCCAGGAAAGAGACACCTTCAATTATCATCTCTCAAGTGATTTCAATATAGTTATCTTTGTTCCGTGTTAGATTTGAATTCTGTGATCCTTTCAAGATTAATAGATACACAGATGAGAGAGACAGAGGCAGCACAGAAAGAGAAAGAGAGAGAAGAGAGAGGATATCCTTACTCAGTATCAGTCACTGTGCTGTGATTTAGATTCCTTATCTGAGTTCATCCTTACAACCACGGGAAGAGCTAACCGTGGCTCTCCTGGGCCCCCAGCCTCAACCACAGTACTAAACACACCCTCCAGGTTTACCCACGTCCTCCCATCCCTGCCAACTGCACCAGCCACAAACCCAGCTGGCTCCTCTGAAGTGCTTTTCTCTGCCCAGCTTCCGTCCCCGGAGCTGGCCACCCAGGCCTCACCTCTTGCACTCATCCTCATCTCCTCTGTCTCCCACACCATCCGCTGAGTCACTGAAGTATGTTTCTTCCTTTGCATAGTTCCTCACGCCCTCCCCCTCCTTCTGGTCTCAATGCCACCCCCCAGGGCCAGGCCCTCATGATGTCATGTCTATCTACTCTAATTGCCTCCTAATTCCTTTCCCTGATTCCTCCCCTAAGGGCACCCTCCACTTAGAATTTGATTCATCTCCCTGGAACGTGATGCTACCCATCAGCTTCTCCCTGCTGAGCGTCTCCAGGAGTGTCCTGTTTGGTGGAATCCATTGTTTTCCCAGTCCTTCCAATGTTATCCATTCGACTTCTTTGCTAGAATCCTCATTCCTACCCAACTAAATGAGCAGTCATTGTTTCTTCAACTTTCCACAAGATTTGCCTGCAGTGAACGGCCTTTGTTCTTCTGTCCCCTTGTGGATACTCTACGCTTCCTTCAAGGGTACGGTGTCCCTCACGAAGCCTGACCCATAAGCCTTTTTTGGATTATTTTCACTTTCCGAATCCTATCAGGTCGTGGGGACCACATGTTTGGTTCTAAGCCGAGGACRCCTTCGTCATTGTTTCCATGACAATGGCTGGTCCCAGCTGCCAGCTTATAAACGCAGGGGACAGTGGATCAACTGTGACCAAACATCTTTAATGTTTCAGACAATTTTGAATCAAAATATTTTGCTTGCTGTAAAATCATACAGCTGATGCTCACTTCAGAGAAGAGTAGATGAAGAGCCACATATTYCATCTCTAGGGTCTAGTTCAAGGATGTGTAACAAAGACCCTTCCGTCTGACTAGGTCTTTCTACAGCTATCTACAGACACATGCGTCTTTTTCCTTCTCTCAGCCCATGACTTTCAAAAGGTAGATTAGGGTTTGATGAGTGGCGGTTGGAATGGAAACCTTGGAATTCTTAGGGTTTTGGAGACCTTCTCAGGAGTGCTCCAGGGCAGAGGGAGAGGAACCAGGGCCGAGCAGGATCCCTCATCTTTCGGGTCCCACTACTTCCTCAGAAATGTTAGTCTTGGATTTTTTTTTCCCAAGGGTTTATGTTTAAAAAAATTTGAAAATCATCACATGGATTGTTCACAAAGCCCTTGCAGTTTTCCCATCTTGCATCTGCAGGTGAGGTTGAAGGGGAGCAATGGCTGACATGGGTGCTGGATCCCTATCAGGTGTCATGCACAGTGCCGACCACAGCTACCGTGATTTCCCTACTTTATAGGAAAAGATAAGAGCTGGCCAGGAAGTGGTGGGGAAAGTCGAGACGGGGGTTCAGGTCAGTTGAATGACAAGTACACCGCCTTTGGAGGGATCTAGGGAGAAAGGTTAGGAGATGGACTATCCTCCACCCCTGCCCCTTTGCCTGCTTGGTGGGAAGACATTGTCAATGGCAAAGCATGACATTTTTCAAGAATTGTTAGTTGAAGGTAGCTTAGCCAGTTGGTCAGCCTTCAGGTCATTGGTGAGCTTTGATAGGAATCTCTGTGACACCTGTGACTGGTGAGTCCCCTAGCCATTCTGACTGGATTGTTTGGAGGCTGGCAGAAACCTGGGCTTAGGAGGATTTATCTAGATGTGACCACCCAAGGCTTTAGCATTCCCTGAAATATCACTGACCTCGCCAACAGACCACAATGTTGGTGGTCAGAACTTACTATTGAAATGAGTCCCAAAGAACATTCCCTGAGCTAGCCCAGGAAATCAGATACATGAAAATGGCGTCTCTAGCCAGTGCACTCTTACACGTAACTGTGGAAATCCACAACTTGACTGACTCTAAGCCACACTAGAGTGTCATCAAAAAAAAAAAAAAATCCAAAACAAAACAAAACAAACATGAACCAACTGCTAATTCCATTGGAGAGAGAGAGAGCAATTTCTCCTGAGAATGATTCAAACCAAGCATGATTTAGCCATAGCTGGACTATGTACTTTCGAACCTTAATCATGAACAAAACTAGACAGTAAAATCTGCAAATTCCCTGTATCGTGTGCTACCAAGTTGTCTGAGAAGGGCTGGTCCAACTATCCAATCAAACCCATGGAAAGATGCTCCCTTTTGATAACAAGGATTCTCTGTGTGCCATGTCCTGATTAGGAACCAGATCAGGATTTCAAAGAATCTGCTCCCTGAGGCTGATTTCCAGGAGCCACTATGTAATTTCACTCAGAATTGCTGAACTTGCTTTTGAAACTCTTGATATTGTTGTGAAAATTATCACCATCCTTGATTCCAATCATTTTGTTTGTTTTGGAACTGGGGATTGAACTCATGGGCGCTTAACCACTCAGCCACATCCTCAGCCCCTTTTATTTTTCCTTGTAAGAAATAGTCGGGCTAAGTTGCTTAAAGCCTTGCTAAGTTGCTGAGGCTGGTCTTGAACTTGTGATCCTCCTGCCTGAGCCTCTTGAATCACTGGAATTACAGGCGTACACCATCCTGCCAGGCTCCAGTCATTTTCTTTTTTTTTTTTTAAACTGGGGCAAAGGAATTGAATGAAGGGGGAAATTAGACCTTGACTAATGGAAGAACACACACACACACACACACACACACACACACACAGTTGGACATTTCAGAGGATGAATCCAGTATATTATAAAACTTAATAAAATAAAACAGGGTATTTTTCTCCTGTTTTTCCCGGCTTCCCACATCCTCCTTTTCATCCTTCAAAGAACTTGCCTTCTCTTCAACACATTCACCAATGGCCTCGGCTTCACCAGCTTTTGTTATTTTACCTCCTGATGTGGACTGGGGTGATAATGAGATCTCCCAGGCCGGGTCCTTGGGGATGGATAATAACTGTGTCGGCTGGTGTTTCTCCTTTCTTCTGAGACTTTCAGAGGCTGAAAATAAGGCCCTGCCAAATGTGTACAGAAAATGCTGTTACACCTCGATTTTCCTGGGTAAAAGACTGGAGGAGGTGACACCCTAGTGGAAGGATTGTGACTTCTATTTCATTTGTTTTCAAAGCCCAGCTTGAGAAGTTGCCATCGTTTGTATTTAAAAGAAAAAGAGGGAGAGGGGAGCTGTCTAATAATTTCCTATGAATATGCAGTGATATTCATACGAAAGAAAAGCAAGACACAAAGGCAAAGTTGAGCAAACCAGTTTACACTAACTCGTTCCCCATAGCATGAGCTTAAGAAATAGAGGTTTTCCCCTACAAAATCTGGAGTTTGCAAAAGAATGTAGAAAAACTAGATGCGGCCCCATCTCCTGGCAGTCTGAAGTAATAGCGGTAGTAATTCTGATCTTTTGGTTGTTGTTTGATCTGTTTTGATTATAGCTTAAGGTACTGTTCAAGGTTTGCCTTTTCTCAACGTTTTTGTCATCAGAAGATAACTGTTGCTTTGTCAATATTTTCATTTCCCAAAACAGAGGCAGAGGACCCTGCCAGGTGGACATCAAGGGAACCTGGGACCTCGCAACAAGCACTTCAGAGGTCTGTTGGTAGTGACAGACCACATTTTGGTCTAGAAGTCTGTGCATCTGCAGCTGCCTTCTATACAGAGAAGTGGACATCACCTTTGGGTTAGATGATTGAAATAGACACCTGTATGTTCTAGAAATCTCTCATCAGCAGGTGCTAGGGACAACTTCCTTCCCCAAAGTCCAGCATCACTGTACATTTCCCTGAGCTCTGCAGGAAGGGGGGTGACACGCACATGCACACGCTTCTCGGGTTCCCCAGGACAAGCATGCACAGGTCTAGATTCACCCAGGGCTCGATTCTGACTAAGAATTCTGTCAGGTGTTGGTGTGGGTCAGTAAGGATTATGGACAGGAAGGTACAATGATGCTTTCTTTTTTTCTGATATAAAATTGAAATAAAAAGAAGACTGTGAGGCAGCTGCTAACTCTGAGAGTTCCTGGTTGGTTTTCTTGCTCTGAGGGGTCTGAGCTACCYAAGCATGATTGGCTGTCAACTGTGTCATAGGATCAGTCCAGAACTATCAAGGTCCTCCCAGCCAAGGTGGCTCTGGATGGGAAGCTGAGCAAAAGGCCACATCTCTTTCCACATAGAGTTTCAAACGAGGTCTCAACATCCCATGGAAATGGAGACCTGTGTAGAAGTCAGATGGGAGCAATATTCTAAAACCTAAAATGGGATGGTGGCACAGGATATTAACTACCTACATGGGCTGTAAAACCCAGGGTGTCTTTATTCTGAAGCCAGGTAAACATCCAAATTTCACAACAAAGTATAAACTAAGGAAAAAGAAAAGCCCCTGCTATAAMGTCCTGCAGAAACAGTAAGCAGCATCCCTCATACTGTGCTTGCTTGCTCTCTCCTGTCTCCTCCAACCTGCTTAGCTTTGGAATGGAGCTCAGTCAAGGATTAACCTCAACATAACTGTCACACTGGTGACAAGGAGAACAACTACACTCTTTTACCATGTGCCAGGTACAATGCAGAGTGCTCTGCATGCATGGTCTCAYTTAAATTTTAAACACTTCTGTGAGACAGTTTACATATTATCTGTTTTTAACATGCAAGAGATGAGAAAATGAGTGAGGTCAAGAACATGCCTAAAGTCATCAGCTTTTTTTTTCCCCATGTATTTGTTAATGCTCAGGGTTTTTTTGTTTTGTTTTTTTTTCTGGAACTTTGATTATGTTAGGTGATCTTTGAGGCAGCGGGGACATAGCAATGAGCAAAACAAAGACAGGTTTTTGCCCTCAAGGAACCCATATCACACAGATGACAAACACATATGTCATTCTATGAACTGAACTGTCTCCCCTCAAATGTGCTATGTGGAAGCCCTAGGTGACTATACTTGGAGATAAGGTATTTAGGAAATAAATGAGGTTAAATGATGTCTTAAGGGGGTCATAATTCTCATCTGGTAAAGATAGGTATCCATATAAAAGGAGAAACTCAGAGCATGCTCTCTCTGAGGAAAGAACATGCAAGAATTGCCATASGAAGGTGGCCTGGAACACATCATAAAGAAAGCCCTAACCAGGAACTGAACACTGRTACACCTTGATCTGGAACTTCCAGCCTCCAGGACTGAGATATATATATAAATTCTGGAGACTGGAAGTTCCAGATCAAGGTGTACCAGTGTTCAGTTCCTGGTTAGGGCTTTCTTTCTGACATATAGATAGATAGATAGATAGATAGATAGATAGATAGATAGATAGATTGATTGATATATCTATTTCTGATATATAATTATAGTTATAGTTTTGTAAGTCACCTTGTGTATGGGATTTTGTTACAGCAGCAAGATGACTAATACATGGTATATGTCAAGTAGTGATAAGTGCTATGGAGATTGCCATTCGATATTTCTGTGCCAGAGATAACTATTTCATATAGGCTTAGGTATCTCCTTCCTTAAGGAAAGCACACACAAAGAAAGTGGTGAAAAAATTAAGTGGGTACCCAAGAAGAAATGATCCTGGCAGAAGGCACTGAGATAGAGGTATGAGAAATTTCTGAGCGACAGCAAGACAGCATGGCTAGAGGGAGGAGTAGCAGGTGATGGGAACAAGTGGGGATAGGCCCAGGCAGTCTGAGCCAGAGATTTATTACTAAATGGCTTCTACAAACAAGTACATGGCTTGATTTATTTCCATTTTCCTGACATAATCTTTGTCCATCCCTTTGTTTGTAATTTATTAAAAATCATTCATTTTTTTAAAAAAAAATCTCTGTATATATTATAGGTTAGTTCTTCCATTATAAGCCAATTTGAAGTCGTTTTCTTTTCATAGGTATGTTAAACCCATCTGCATTTATTGACATGACCAACATGCAGTGGTCCCCCCTTTGGTCTTATTAACTCATGGTGTGGTTATGTGAGTATTGCATTATAGTTACTGTGTTTCATTCTCTATTTGGCATGTTTCCCCCACCCTTTGGATTTTTAGAAGAACAAAATTATTTTTAGCATAGCACTTCTCTTGCTATTACTTTTTTTCACATTCCACTCATTTCCTATTTTCCTTCTTAACATTTACTATCTTCTATGTCAGTTTTAAAAGGTATTCTTTCATGCATATTTTTAAAATGTATTCTCATTTCCACTATATACTCTTGCTTTGTGAGTTTTATCTATTTATTAGCTTCATGAACCAGTTCTAGATCCACAGGAAGTTGCAAACATCCTTCCCTCAGTTTCCACCAATAGTTATAAGTTAGAAAGGTCTGCAATTTTCTAATACATGATTACACCTGATAAACCATCTTCATATCATAGCAAAACCACAAATTACTCTTGGCATGATGATGTATAGCTTTATCCCATTTTTCATGTATGTAGCTTTGCATAATCACCACTGAAATAAAAATTCGAAATCATTCCATTACCACGGACAGGTCCCTGGTGCTGTCTCTTTATGATCCCACCCTCTCCTTCCCTCCCCAAGTTCCTAAACACTGGAGATTGCTAATTGGTCCTCCTTCCCTAGGAATCTCTGTGGTTTGGAGACAGTTATTGTCAATTATTGGCACAATAAAACTCGAGTCTGCCATAGTTTTGCTTCCTTTGTTTTTCTATTTTCTTTTTTTCTATTTTCCTATATGCTAATTGGACACTTCTGAGAATTCCAATTTGATTTATCTATAGGATAGTCCTGGTATGATTTGCTGGMTACTTCTGACTCAGAGAATTTGTACTTGCTGTGTTTTCTGTCTGAGATATTCTTTCCCCAGCTTTTGGTGGATGTTTTAAACATAGTTTTATTAGTACCTTATAAGTCTACATACTAGTGGGGCTCATTTCATTTTGACATAATCATCCCTGCATGGGATATAATTTGCTCCATTTCAGTCCCCAGTCATTCCTCTTTGCCTCCCTTCCTCCCTCTCCCAATTTCCCTTCCTCTACTGGTCTTTATTCTATTTATTTGTTGTT